TGAAGGCCGACACCGAAGCATCACTCACCGCAGGGAATTAATGAGGGAAAGTGAACCAGGAGAAGAAGGGAGAGCCTTCTCTACCTCGCGAGGCTAAAGCATGGCTCAATCGCCGTTCCCGTGCAATCCTAGTCAACCAGAACACCTCACGCCGTCTCCGGAAGGGGAAGTACTACCCTGCCTCGCCTGAGGGAAGAGCTAAACTCTCCCCTGTCATGCAAGGCTTCCTTAACTTCCGTTCCGAAGGGGGTTACTCATCTTTACGGCAGGCTGACGATGCGGGCGGAGCGTAAAAATCGCTCCGCCTTGGCCGGCCGAAATTGCCTGACCGGCGAGGGAGGGGAGGGTCTCCAACCCCTTCCCTCACCCTATCCCGGATGACCTGAGGTGGGGGGGCGGAGAGGCAGGCCCTTCCCTCACCGGGTTGTTCCCGCCTCCCCTGAATAGTGATCCCCTCCGCGCACACGGGTGGGAAAACCCCACTCTAGGCTCGCTCCAGGGAGAAAACTCCCAAGCTACAGAGAAGGTCAATCCGCCAGCAGGCGGGGCGGGAGTCTGCATCCCGCCGCCATCGACGACAGGTATTCCCGTCGCCTCGGACTCGGGTTTTACACTCCTTCCCGTACTAGTAGGAAGGTAGTCCCTCTCCCTTCTGGCAGCGGGCAACGACCCCGCCCTACAGCTCCGCGGCAGAGACCCTGCTGCCCTACCGAGTTAGCAATCGTCCGGGATCCGCCGAACAGGGAGAAAGGCCTAGGCCCCCTCTGTGGCACCTGGAGGAGCCACAACGCCCCACCCCAATCGACTGAACCTCGGCACTCACCCATATCTAGAGCACCTTATCGGCGCCCACCACCGCCGTGTCCCCGATGACAACCAACGTCCACCCTAGTTGCAGGCGCGGAAACGCGCCCGCCTCCAACAAGGGACTCATTGGGGGAACGGCCGCGAGGACGCCTAATGCGTCCGCCGCCCCCCTTCCGCGATGAGGCCAGCCAGCACGCAGGCCCCGCTATGCGGTGACTGGCCTCTCTCCCTGCATCTCGGCACACCGCGCAGCTGGGAGCGTTTTCATACTCCCGCGCGATGTGCCGGCCCCGGCCACAGCGGTAGCAGAGGCCTCCGCGATCCGCAGAGGCCCTACACGCATTCCGCATGTGGCCGAGGCCCCAGCATCTAAAGCACTGAGCCGGCCGTGCCGTCAGCAGTGAAACGCTGACGGTCGACCAGCCCAGTGTAAAGGCCCCTCCTTTGGCAGCCGCGATTGCGGCCGCCAGCGGGAGCCATGTCCACACCACTCCCCGACCCCTGGGTCCCCACCGCAGAGGGCCAAGTTGGACGACCCCCGGTGCGCATCCAGCACACATCGCAAGGGCCGTCCTAACCTCTTCCGGAAGAGCCGCCTCGCTGGGTTCAGCGAGGCGGACTTCTACCCTCTATACCGGGCGATTAATTATCCGGCAAAACCTCCTTAAGCCTTTCGGCGAACTCATCTGCTTTTCTCCACTCGGGGCCAGGGTCCCGGTCGCGGAGTAATATTGCGCCATCAGCGCTCCTACCCACCTCCACGCCCGGAATCCCCATGTCTTCGAAGAGAATTCTCTCCGCACGGCGGAGGGCCTCCGCATAGGAGGCCCCCCGCTCCAACCTCACAGTGACCGCGGCTGATCCGGCAACTGCGGCCATTTCCTACCCAGTACAGGCGGGGGGAAGGGGCGGGCAAAGCCCTATTCCCCCTCCCCCTAAGTCTCAACGATCTACATCCTTCCTTCTCTAAGGATGGTCCAGGAGTGGAAGATAAACCCCGGAACCTCTCTTCAAATCCTCTGCGTTCTCTCCTAGGGATGAGAGGCTGCCCTTGAATAGGCACATTCCACCCCTCGTCCACCCTCCCATGCTTAACCCCCTGAGGCTGAGAGCGCCCGGCCTGTACGGTCTCCGGACTACTCTCAGCCTCGCCAGCACCCTTCTTTCTCTTCCTATTTCTGTGCTCCGCGGTCTCCCACTCCATCGCCTCTCTGAGTGCACCGCGGAGCATATCCACCTCTCGAGCCAGGGAAGGAAGGGCCTCCTCAATCCGGGGGGGAGAGTCAATCCTCTTCGACCCCCCGGACCCATTCACCCCCACCACTCGATACCTCCTTCCTCATCTTTTTGGGTGGCTACCTCTTTCCGAAAGTGCCTCTCCTGCGCCTCCTTCGTCACCACTCCTACCGACTTGAAGTCGGGCCTCCTTTTCGCCTACTTCAATTCCTCCCTAGCTTTATCCAGCTGGCTCTGGAGGAGTTTCACCTTCTCCTTCGCAGCCGCCAGACTGGATTCCGCCTTCTCCTTGGCCTTATTGGCCCGCTCCATCTTCTTATCTCCAGCCTCTATACTCTGAAGAAGAGCCTCCCTGCACTCATTGCTCGCTAAGAGGCTTACCCTCATCTTCTGCATTTCTTCCATGCCTTTCCTGAGCTCCTTCATGAGCTCTGTCCTCCTCATATGTTGTGCTCTTCCATCCTTACATAGAAGTTGCACATACTTCCTTGTATTAATAAAAAAATTCCCGGTTCCTAGCTGAGGCCATCTCCTCATAACTCTCGTCCCAGACCGCATCGGTCCCGTCAAATAGGGATCTCACATCATTAAGAGCAAGTTCCCGCTCTTCATCCCACTTGTTCCACCTCTCAACGGAGAAACTAACCTCTTCCGAGATCGACAGATCCTCCTCCACCAGCACCGTGGAGGCCACCGATGCCTCTGAAGGGGTCGGCTAATCCCTCGAAGGTCCCGCCTCATCTTCCCTCTTCCTGCGCTTCTTCTTTCCCTTCGGTATGTTAATAGGATCAGCAATTTTTAGTTTGCACCCACCACTGCTGAGGGCTCGACCGGCCGGGCATGCCCGCACCACCGAAAACATGACCTGGTGGTGTCCCCGAGTTCCCCCAGGAAACCGGTCTATGCCACTGGATCAGGGAGGGCATCTGGTCACTGGGCTCCAGCCCCCTACTCCCGCCCTGACCCCATCGCTGGGGCCAGGCCGGTTGGAGGGGCCCCCCGTCTCCAACCCCGGAGGTACCTTCAGCAGCACCGCCACGCGGGTGGCCCCGTGGAAGGAGTTAGGCCACCGCCGTCGCACCCCGACGGGACCGCTCCACCACTGCAGCCAGCCTAACGTCGTCGTCCGGTGGATGAGTTTAGGGATGATGCGATCCCCATCCACCGAGCACACCGGGGGACCCCGGTCCCGACCTCGGAATATGTCCGAGCGGCCGGAGTCCCCCCGCCATCCTGGATACCGTGTAGGGTCCCAAACCCTCATTATGTGCAGACCCAGGTGTGATTCGCTCCTTCTCGCTGCCGAAGCACCGGCGTACAATGCCCATAAGAGCGCTCCCACCAAAACGGGAGGGTAGGCCCGATCCTCACCCTCGGGCTGCCGGAGCACCGGCGTGCAATGCCATTGGGGGTGAGAACCTCCCTCCCAGAACTGAGACCATGAGCCAATCATGGCACAGAGGTTCTCGTAACTATCCTGGGTGCTCTTAGCCAGTCTCTCAGTACAGACCACTCCGGCATGGTAGGACCTGCCAGGGGCCGAAGCCCCGCCGGCACAGCTCTGTACATCATCAGGACCTTCAAGCCTCCCCACCACAACAAGGTGGCACCCGCGGGGAGGAACGCACATAACCCTAAGAATGAAGTTGTAATCTGCAAAACCAAGCATGTAAACTCCATATCCCCATAACTGACATAAGCTCATCATGAACTGAACCTCATTTTCTTTGTTAACGCAGAGGAAACCCATCATGGGTACCCTCCGCCCCCTGGGAGGGGCAGAGGGTTATGTGAGACTCTTACTCACTAAAACCTCTGCGGAATGTCTACCAGTCGGACCGAGATGGGAGGAGTCAGGGGAACTGCCCCAGCATTCCCTCCCCGACACCCCAGGACTCATTTGTTGATCCCCATTCCCACGTGCAGCGCCCCCTTCTCCCTAAGGACAAGGTCTGGGCGCGGCGTCCCGATCGGCTATGCCGATCGAGCTGGCCTTACGGTTTCATTTATGGGAGAGAGGGGACATGCCTACCCTCCCTCCCCGCCCCCTCCCGTTCGGAGTATCCTACTCTGCTCAAAACCAAATATGTCAAATTACACAGCAACACAAAAACAAATTTGGTTCTGATCTGGGGGTCTGACTATGTTTACTATAAGTTTTTGGGGTCGCTGAATCCGAATCCGAGGCCTATTCAACCCTATCACATCAGGATTCTGTCATAACCTCAAAAACCCATAATTTTACTCCGGGGAGCGGGGGAGCGTGACCCTTTCCCAGAGGGCCTCGCTCCCCCCTTTCCTTCCTCTACCGATGTGCGAGGGAGCGCGGACGGGGGTTCTCACATCCCTCCCGGCATCCCTCCCCCGCGCGTCCGAAGTCGGTCCCGAGGCGGCCGAAGGGACGGTCTCCGGCGGACCGGTCGCCGTTCCCTCTCGGCCGGCGCCACCTCGGGGCCGCTACCATCTCCCGGGGAATACTGCCTTCTACCCCGCCGCACCCTGCCGTCAGGGTTGGGCTGACGTTCCCACTCGGCGGCCTCCTTCTGGGACATGACATCCCTGCATGAGGAGGCCGTCGCCCCCCATGCCTCCTCGCTCCCGCACATGGCACGGACCATGCGCGGGAACGAGAAATCCTCCACACGACACCCGACCGCTCGAGCCAAGACTCGGCGCTCTTGGCTCCACGCCTCGCATTCTGCGAGGCTGTACCGCGCCGAGTCCTCCGGCTCCGGTCAGTGGTGGCACTCGATGGTGAGTTCTTTCCCTATTCGGTGCAGGTACTCTCCGAAGCATCCATACCCCGTTAGTACCTGCACCAAGTGGAAAGAGAGTCCGCGCGCCCTCCTGCCCACCATTTCCGGTAGGCAGGGGCGGACAGCCTCGACTGTCTGGCGACGGAATCCACGCTGATCGGCCAATTCGGCCGACTACTTATCGAGGATCCGGTCACCGGCCTAGGTCTTCAGGGCCCTCAGGTCCCTGACCGATAGCTTCTCCTCTCTTTCGCGGAGCTCCCTTATGCGCCAGAGGAGATACCTCTCTTTGGCGAGGAGCTCCACTGGGGAGGAACCGGCCAGGGCGGCCGCCGCCGTGTACGAAACTGTCACGTATTCCCGGATTGCCCTCACCAGCACCAGCCGCGTGGCCTGCCGCAGCAGGTTCCTGTTGCAGCTGGTGGCTAGGAATCGGGGCGCCCATATAGGCGTCCCGTACAGGGCGACCGAGAGCACAACGCCCACGTACAGGCGGCGTGCCCGCCATCCATGGCCCCTCTGGGTCCGCATCAGGCCGGCCAAGGCCGTGCCTACCTTGCGGACCCGGGGGGCCAGGCACCTGTAATGTGGTCCGAATTCCCACCGGCTGTTCAGCGTCAAGCCCAAAAATTTCATTGTGGACTTGACGCAGATGCGGACACCGTCCACCAGGACCTGGGCCCTTCACGGCTTCCCCTAACCCCGTCCATGAAATAACATGGCCTGGGTTTTCTGGGGGGTCACTTTCAGCCCGAGGTCACCGATGGTTCCCACCACCGATTATAAAGCTATCTCCACTCGGAGGCGAGCCTCCCCCCAATCCTCTCCCTCAGCCAACACTAACGTGTCGTATGCGTAGCAGACTACGTGGCAGCCTCAGAGGAGGAGATCGCAGCACCCGGTCGAACGCGATGTTCCATGGCAGAGGGCCCAGGACAGACCCCTGCGAAACATCGCGTTTCATTTGCCGCCGGCCTTGGACCCCGCCTCTCCCCGAGTAGGCGAGGTCTCTGTCCCTGAAGTACGCCGCCGCGATGCGCCGGAGATAGATGGGAACGCCATCTTATTCCAGGGTCCGTCCTATCTCCGGCCAAGGCAGGGTGTTAAATGCGTTTGTGATATCTAGCGATACCGCGAGTAACACCCCGCCTTCCTCCTCCACAGCGGTACGGGTCAGGTCCCGGACGTTCTGGAGTGCGTCCAGCGTAGATCGTCCGGGTCTGAATCCGTACTGATTGCCGTGGAGGTCTGGCCCCTCCAGGAACAAATGCTGGACGAGGCGGTCTGCGATGATGGGTTCCAGCATCTTACCCGCCTCGTCCAGCAAGCATATCGGCCTGTAGGCCGGCCCCCCGCCGGGCACCTTACTCTCCTTCGGGAGGAGGACCAACTTGGCCCTCCTCCACTCCTGGGGGAAGACTCCCTCCCTTAGGCACCCTTCTATTGCATCCCGCGTGGCCGCAAATAGGCTTCCATCGCCGAGGGCGAGAGCCCAGGCGCGACCAGGAATTCCGTCGGGACCGGGGGCTTTGCCCTTGGCCCTCTTCCTGGCCCCGGCGAACTACTCTGGTGAGATCCCCAGATCCTCGTTCCAGTCCCCGTCCTGAATCTCAGGAACAAGGATCCTGGGGGGGGCCCCTCAGCCTTCGGGAAGAGGGTGTCGAGGAACCCCCTGAGGTCCTGAAGATCCATGGACTTCGTCGGTGGGGGTGCCCACGGACGTATCTTTCCGACAGTCCGTTTGTACGGGCGCCCCCACGGGTCCTCGTCCAGGGAGCTCACCAGGCACTCCCAGGCTCCCTCCTTTGCCTCGGCGATAGCGGCCTTGAGGGTTTCCCTCACTCGGAGGTAGCCCTCTTTCGTCCCCGCGACGTCCCAGCCGTCGCGCCGGGCTCGGGTGTATACCCGTCTGGCATTGGCGCAGGAGTCGCGGATCTCCGCGAGCTCCCGCGTCCACCAGTACGCAGCCAGGCGCCGGCGGGGGTGGGACCGGGGCATTGCGGCGTCACAGACCGACGCCACGATGCCCACCACCTCCCTCAAGAGGGAGCGGAGGGTCCCGTGTACCTGGCCTCTGATCGAGGTGCCAGGTCGCCGTGAGGACAGCCGCCTGAAACCTATCCGCGTCAAGTCGACCGAGGGCCCATCTTGTGGGGTGGGGAAAGTCCCCCTCCCCCGAGCGGCGGTCCAGCCTCCGGTGAGAGGTGGGGAGTCGGAGAGCCCACGTCACGTATCGGTGGTCCAACAGCGACTCTCTCTCCTCCTCCACCACCCACTCCCGGAATTCCCGAGCAGCTGAGGGAGAGGCCAACGTCAGGTCTATGACCTCCTCTCCCCGGCCGCAGAAAGATGCTGGTGGACCCTGTGTTCATTAACACGAGGCCCAATCTCGCCGCCCAATCGGCCACGGCTTTGCTCCAAGAGTCCCTTTGCCGGGGTCTGCGACCCCACTCATTCGAGTCGGCGTTAAAATCCCCGGCGACGACTACAGGTTGGCACTGCCGTACCACATCCCCGACTCTGTCCAGGACCCTCACAACACGGGCAAGCTCGCCTAGGCCTACTCTATTTCTGTGGTGGGGGAGATATACCCCCACCACAGTGATGGACCCACAGTCGACAGCCACATATGAACGCCCCCTCTTCCTGACTTTGCAGGAGCGGGCGCCCGTTGCGGGATTAGCCACCACGGCTACTAAGCCGCACTTGCTACCCAGCCATTCGGGATTCCCGGCCGGGAAGTGCGGCTCTATGACCAATACTAGGCCGACACCCATCTCCGCGAGATTGTGGATCCACAGATCTTGGGCACGGGTGCCTCTGCCTAGGTTGGCTTGGGATACCCGGAGGGGCATGAAAGCTAGGCCTTCACGCCTCCTCCGGGCGTTCCTCCTTCGTTCCCCCTGAGGAGGTATCGGGCGGCGACAGCGCCGTCTCCGTCTCCTCTGGGGGAACTTTTGCCGTGGTGGCGGCTTCCATATCGGATGCCTCCGTGGTGGCAGTCTGCTCTAATGCCTCCTTGGGGGCTTCCTCGGAGGTTCCTATCTGGGGGGTTCCTACCTCTGCCTCCCCCTCTTCTCGGGAATATGAAGCAGGGAAGCCTACAAAGGGGGGCCGAGGATGGCGCGTCCTCCGACTCCCCTACTACAGTTGTTGGGGGTGGAGTCTTTGCAGTCACCACCTTCTCACCTTATCCTTCCTGTCCGGGGGAGGGAGCTGGCTCCTTGTCCTCCATCTCCTTTGCCGCCTTCCTCTCCTCCGATGTCGCCGCCTTTAGGGCTCCCCTCTTTCTCTTCTCCCTCTACGGCAGTGCCTCTTCCTCCATAGGAGCGGCGGGGTCCAGGGTACGATCTTCGACCGCCTCCACCGCCATGTTGTCCTCATCCCGCGTGGGGGAGAAGGCCGGCTTGACCTCCTCCCTTGCCTTCACTCCGGCCGTCCATGGGGGAACCTGTCGGTCCTTCCCATCATCCTTCGCCGGGGTGAGGGGGGCATTCGCCGTCTCCCCCTCTGGGTTGGGTCTGGGCTGCCTCTTCCTTCTGTTGGTCTTCCTCTTCCTTCTCTGCCTGCTCGTTAAAGGCTTGCATGCGGGTCCGCCGGTCTTATGACCGGCCGGCTTGCCCGCTTCAGCGCACACGGGACAGTGTGCCGCTGCCGCCCTACATTGTTTGGCGCGGTGGCTGGGGATACCGCAGCGATAGCAGTTATCGCTGCGGTTGACGGCGCTCTTGCACCGCTCACGCACATGGCCCTGCTCCATACAACCGAAGCAGAGCGCCGCGCGAGCGGGCATCACCCCGGCTCGGGTCTAGCCCACCTGGAGCCGCCCCGCGACGGCGACCTTCGAGGCCGCCATCAACGGGCACCGCATTACTGCCATGGCCGTTCCCCGCTGGGTGGGTCGCACTTCGCCCCCGGAAATCTCCGTGGGCAAGCACCCCCCAGCGAAGGCCACGGCGGCCATCACTTCATCGGCCCCGACCGTCGCATCCAGACCGTTGAGCCGCAGCGCCGCGGTCTTCACCGGCCTTTGGATGCGATAGGGCCCTTCTCCGCCGCCAGCTTGCCGAGCTCCTCGGCAAGTCGGTCGGTGGAGGCCCCGGCGTCGAGGCCAGGCACCTCGATCAGAAGGACTCCGGTGCGAGCCGTACGAATTCTAAGGCCCCCCGGTATGCCCACATTCACCTGTCTGATCCGGCGCCTGGCCTCGACCATAAACTTCTCATACGTGTCCCTCGGGCACGCAATAGTGATGGTTGCCGATCCGGGCGGCCTCGGCACCACCGCCGCGGTTGCTGGTCCCCTCCTTGGGCCGGCTGTCGGTTAAGGAGGGATCGGTCCACTCCTCTTCTTCTCCTCCTGCCTCTCCCTCCTTTTCTCCTTCCTACCCACAACCCTGCTCCAAGCCTCCGAACCCGGGGCCACGGAGGCCTGGGCAGTGACTGCGGGGGGGATTGCCTGTGGAGGCTTTCCCCTCCCAGGATCCGCTACCGTATCCTTCTTACTCCGCTCCTATTTCCCCCTCCACCGACTTTAGAGGAGGCTTTCTTTGTCTCCTTAGGGGGAGGGAAGGCCGCCCTTCGGTCCAAAGTTATGGCCTGTGATTCCTGGGCCTCCCTCCTCAACATCTGCAGCTCCTGCATCCGCTGCTCCTCTTTCTTTCACGCCGCTTACATCCTCCTCTGTTCCCTCTTCTTTTCGGTCGCGGTCCTTCTTCTCTCCCTCTTCTGCTTCCCGTTCTCCCTAATGCTCCCATCCCCAGCCGGGGGGACAGATGTCTCCCCAGCCAGGAGGACAGATGCCTCCTCAACCTGGAGGGCGGGCCTCTCCATAGCGGGGAAGGTCGCAGCAAGGGGGGCAAGTGCCCTTGCCAGGTCCTCTGCACTGGGTGTCCATAATCCCCTGTCGGACATCACTTTTCCTCTGCATTCGAGTTGGTCATTAATCCCCTTCGAGATCACTTTATACGCAGCCTCTTCTTCAGGTCTCAAGTTGAGGTGTGCAAGACTGTCGTCTAATTCCTTACGGACCGTTTTGATGGGGGGTCTAAGGACGGGAGCTGGGGCGTCCATCAGCAAATTGTCATCATACGATGGAATATTGTCGATGGGACCCTCCCTCTCCTTCTCCTCTGATGAGCTCGAGGAGCTCTCCGGAATGGCCCTTCGCTGGGCTATCTTTCGCTTCTTCGCCCGTGATGGGGCTGGGCGAGCCACCTCCTCCGCAGCCGATGCTCCGCTGCCTCCGGCCGCCTGAGCGTATGTCATCGCCGCAATTTGTTAGGATGGTGAAGGTCCCACGGCAATCTCCCTCGCCCTTGCTTCCTCCTCAAGGCTTCTGTTTTTCACCCTTAACACCCTGAGCTCCTCTCGGAGCTCCTCCATTTCTTTGTTGGCCGTAGCTACGACCTCCTCCTCTCCATCCTGAGCCGCAAGGTGTCGTAAAGTTGTAAGTTTTAAGAAATTGACACAGTCCATTATTCTTCTCATATTCGAGTACGTAATTGTAATCGTAATTGATAAATTATTTAAAGCTTAAACCTTAGTAATCTTTTGTAGACCCGGGCTAATGCAGAATAGGCTGAAGAGCTAATCATGTGTCTTGATTCTGTTAGATACAACAGGATATCCAACTTATATGCTTAACCATCAAATGTCGTTTAAGATAAATCCATGCTCACGAGTGTACGAATAATATGTATTATACATATATTTTTATACATAACGGATCACTGCTATAAAATGTGCCATTTTTTATAACTTAAACATCAGTTTTCTACATTTCTACAAAGCTCGGAAAGCTGCTCTCTACAACAGCTCATACTCTCTAAAATATGAAGAAAAATTATAATATGATAATACCTTTTATAGCTAACAATTTAGTTGGATTCAATTTGGACGGGGTTGTTTCTTACTTTTATTTCTTATCCTATTAGATTGTGTCCCTGTTACTGAACTGCATCTTAATACGGTAGTTCCGAAAACAGCAATTGCTATGTTTTTTACAAACATTGCACATGACTTGCTAATTGCAGCAATACTGTCATATTGACAATGTGTTATCCAAACATCATGGCCAAGATACATCTAAACAAATACAGTAATAAATAAATAAATAAATTATCAAAAAAAGATTACTGGGATTGATCATCTCTTTCTACTAAACTCATGAAAAATTTAAAATTTCATAGATGAATAAAAGTTAAATTGAATTATTCCCTTTTCACGAGCTCATACTAGAGACAAAGATTTATAACTGACGCCCTAAATATTAATATTGATAAAAAGGCAGTACCAAATTTTTTTCTACACTCCTGTATCCTACGGGTAATTCACCGGGATTTGTATGTTCTCTTTCGGCATTTTTTTTGCATAAATCTCTTACAATAGCTGCAATGTTTATACGAAAATAGTACATAACAAACTAAAATTTTTTTTATTATCACTAAAATTATGAAAAATCTAATATATATATATGTACCTTTCAGTTCGTTAAAATCATCTATTACATGTTTCTGCAGTGACATATTTAATCCCATTACATCCTTAAAGACATCATCCTTATTTCGTATGGTTTACTTCAATTTGAAATTTTCTGAACGAAGTATTTCGTTGTTTGATTTTAAATCGTGTAACTAAATATTTATAATTGTCAATAATTTAATTTTGCAATAATTGTAATTTAACCATAAATAAAATATCTATAATTTACCTGTTTCTTCAAAGTTTCAACCTGTAATTTATTTTGTTTTATTATATAACTTTCTTCGTTTATTTCAAAATCCGTTACTTTTGTATTCTCGTTACAATTATTCCTCTGGCAAACAACGAATTTGTATATTACAATAGAATATTCAGACAACACCCAGAAAATTCTATATACTTTGTATAGACATGTGTGTTGATTAGCCACATACATAGCGTCCCATTTTACGTGATACATACAAAAATCGTTAGAAATATGCAAGTAATCTAATCGGGAAAAACTTTTGATGATTTTCTGACAAAAAGCAAGCAAATAAATTTTTTCGAAATCTGGGTTATGGCGCTACATTATTCAGTTTTAGTAGTATAACCACCCAGTCAACTAGACTTGCAGAAAATGAACCGATGACAAGTTCTAGTATATCAAGTATACTTGATATATTAGAACTTGTCACTGGTTCATTTTCTGCAAGTCTAGTTGCGAACTCTACAAAGTTTATCAAACAGCATTATTAAAAATAATAACTTTTTGGCTTCTGTCCACAGGATACTGTAATTCTTACGCTGTACATCGTATAACATTATGGAAACATAGAATTTGCAACTAGATTTGCAAAAAGTAAGAAATGGTGACAAATTTCATCAATTGTATTAAGTAATGCTTTATAAAATATAGCTGTTGTATGCATTATAAAATATAGCTGTTGTATGTATCTGCGTATGTGTGTATGTATGTGTGTGTGTTACCTGTACAAATGCCTTGTTTGCGAGTTTTGTTATATTCTTTTTTTATTTCTTTTGTATCCTTTTTCATAGTTTGTGGGACTTTATTCTACAAAAAGTGTTTATACATAATATAATTTTTGTAAATTTAAGAATTGGATTATTATCTTTATTCTATCATTTTAATTCTATTGTTTTCAGTAATATTATTACTTACATTTTTAGAGTCTAAAATATGTGTTAGCCTTTTTTCAATTTTATCGGTAACATTTTCTTTCTGAAAAATTTGAAATATGTACGAATTGTTATACAATCTCTGTTATAAAATCTGTTATGAAATGTCTTATTTTAAAAGGAATATATATATCACAGCTCATACCTCGTTTATACTCGATTCTAATTCACTCTCCGATGCTGACTGACATTTATTGAAAAGGGGAATTTGTGGTCTTTTACTAGCAATTTTTTCTTCCACTTGTTGTTTACTATTTATAATGTGTCGATACTAATTTATACAAATAAAAGATATATTGTACAATTTTTGTACAATTTTAGTTTCTTAATATGTACAACAATTAGTGGAAGAGGTACAGCTACAGAGCCTCAGAGAGACAGAATGGCAAACTAGATTATTTGACCAAGTCTCTTCTGATTCGCTCTAGTCGTACATGGGTCTTGACCGCTGAAATATATATTAAAACACGCACTAGCCTCTTGAAGACTGCGGGCGGAGAGAGAGTCCCTGATTCTTCTCTTATCCTTGTTCAGCTCACAATGAAATCAAAGGGTAAGAATGAGGAGGAAAAGATACAATTCTATTAAGTTAGTAATAAAATTGTAAAAAAGTTACAAGAATGATCTCCCAAGTAATTTTCATTTCCCAAGCAATTTTGATTCATATTATACTAGACACTCAGTAAGGAAATTGATCGTAAAGTGTGCGCAATTTTGCAGCAAATTCGATCAGAAACTCATGCCAAAACGATAGCCATTTGTGTCCGCATGCAGGTACGGTTTTAGCAACAAGGTTTGTTGCTGGGCAACTTGCAGCAAAATCCGTGCAAATATAGCAGCGTACCAAGGTTTCTTCGGTTATTGCCGTCAATTTATCGCTACAAATTTATCGCTCTGTGCGGTTTTTGCTGCAAATTTGCAGAAAAAGTTTCCGATAACAGACTCTGTCGTAAAGTTGATGGCAATTTAGCAGCAAGACCTGATGTATTAGATCTTACAATAAATGTATTGCCTATTACATATCAAAAGTTGATAACAGCCTGCATGAAATCTGTTAGCGTCGATTACAATATTTAGGAAGGAAAGAATGCTGCTCGAGACTGCCAGACATGTTCTCTCTCTGCCGACAATA